GTGGAGAGTAGACTTTATCACAGTAGATGTCTTTCTGAAAGTGCTGTAACTAAGTTTAAGAATATAATCTATGAGGTGCCGTAAGGGACATTTTTACTGAACTTTAGCTCTCGCTCACGCTCTCATTCACACACACTATTGAAACTTTAGCGCACACACACACACACACACACACACACACACACACACACACAGACTTCACTGAAAACCAAGCAGTTTCAGCTGAACAGGAAGTTGTTTCCTGACAAGGAAACTGAAGGAAAAAGGGGTAGATTTCAAACAAACCAATACAACAGATGTCTACTCAGCAACCTGCTAGTAGCCCAAGTGAAGCAGCTGCATTACTTAACAATATATTAGTCTCAGCAGAGACCATCAGAAGTCTGTGAAATGCGACAGCTGTGGGGCAGCAACCTGTTACAAGACTGTGGTCAAATGAGCCCTCACTTGCGAAGTCACGTTCAAGCTAGCCAGCCGCACCTACATTCTTGTTGCACTTAGCTTACGTATATTACGGTACCAGTGCCGACGGGCTTAGAAAACCGAGTGTCTTCTGGATACTGTCATGTATGTATATATGTATGTAGCTAATATTTCAAAACTCGAAGTGGATTGAGAAGAAAAATAGTGAAAAACACCAGTATCCAGAAGACACAGAAGACACAGATGCCAGTCGGCACTATTAATTGGGTTTAGCGCCCTCCGTCTCCACTGTGTGAGATCTCTCTGCTGCAGCTCTGTTGGCATTTTCAGGTTGTTGTGGTGGGTCCAGCTGCTGCTGCAGTTGGTCAGGGTCACATCGAAGAGGGGAGAGGGGGGCGATAAACAAACAAGAGAGAAAAGACGATCAATCAGTTTCATGATTGAAGTAGAAACAGGAGAGGGAGGGGGGAGAATGAGAGAAGAAGAGGCAGCTGTGCAGCGTAAACACAGAATAACTCCAGCTTTGTGTCTTTTTCATTGTAGCTGAAGTCCGGGACAAACTGTGTTCCTTTTCAGCTCAATACGAAACGTGTAATATTTTCTCTGAATACGACACGATTCCGTTTGTACGGGACGGTAAGGCCAGCCTCCACCACTTGCTAATGTTACTAAATCTGTGGAAGCTCCACCATAGCCACCACCAAACAATTTTACACATCTGCTAACCAGAACGCTGTTTACTCGCATGTGACATCATTCCCAGGTCCGTGTTCCGATTTCCGAGGAAAGTCGAACGCAACACACAAAGTAACAAATAACGAGCCTATCTAAATCCCAGTAACGATTAACGCGTTCCTGATTTTGGCATAATGACTAGTTACCGTGCTTGTTACCACAATAACATAGTTACTGTAACACGTTACTTAATAACGCGTTAGTCCCTACACTGCTTTTAACAAAACTAGAATGCCAGACATCAAGCTGTAGTTCTTAATGAACGTCTCTTGCTCTGTGCTATTCTAGGGTGGTTTGAGGGTCCTCAATTCCCAGGTTACCAGCCTAGGACCCCAGACGCTGCTGGTCGGACGCTGCGTACAGCCATCGGTGGGGGAACCAACCCCAGGACAAAATTTGTCCCGTTAGACATCAACCTGCAGTTCTTAACAAAAGTCTCTTGCTCTAGTGCCCAGACACTGAAAGAATTTTGCATGAGTGCCGTTTAAGGCAAGGCAAGGCAAATTTATTTGTATAGCACAATTCAACAACAAGGTGATTCAAAGTGCTTTACAGAGACATTAGAAACAAAAACAAATAAAAAGCATGATTTAAAATTGATTAAAACAAGCAAACAAACAAACAAACTAAACACACACATTCATTCACACCTGTTCGAGCGATCTGAACCCTTATCGTAAGGGGAGCTACCAGTCCTTCTGTTTAAATTAGCGAACAGACGAGTTAGGGTTCATCCAATATGCACACTTGGATGTAACAGGTGGTGCTTACCTTTTAAATTCTGTTAGACCTGTCCTCTGTTCGCCTCGTTTCACGACCCCATGATTACGATCTAATTCGTGTCTCTCAGCCATTTTGGATCCGGGTCACAGGCACCAATTATCGACCCCAATTCCTTTGTCCTCAGGCTTTTCAGAGAAGACGCAAACTCAGTGTAATCAAAACATATGCAATCAATTTATTCAATACAATCTTCTTCAATAACACCTTCAGGAAGGGAGATGTGCACAGCGTGAAAGCCTTCTGCAGGTCTACTGCATTACTGACAGGATGAGAGTGATATACTCTGCACCCCCACTCCTCACGGACACAACAGGAGACAACCTTCAGGTTATCATCTAGCAGCACAAACATGAGCTACATTCTCTGAAAAGTCTGCACTAAAGCTCCTGTTTATCACAGTTTCATTTCACCAGGAAATCTAATGACCTAAAGACCTAAAGCACAGTATACTTTATATATATATATAAACCCTTAAAGCTGGCCTTTAATATTACCCTTTAATATTACACTTTAATATAGTCTTTAATATATACTTATCAAATAGGCACTTGGATTATATTTTATAACAGTTCCCAATAATATTTCAGTGTATTAGCTGCACTGTAATTTACTTACATTCAGTTTCCCCCCTGATAATGAAGGATTTTATCTGAGGGTTTTTTCTTTTCCTTTTCTTTGTTTGTTTGTTTGTTTAATAAAATGACTCATGTGTTATTCAAATCAGAATACTGTTAAAACATGTTGTGAAATTCTTTATTTCTAATATTGTAGACTTGTGTCTAAACTTCACATTTCTGAAATTTTCCCCAATAACAACTGTTGAATTTATCTCTGGGCTTGCCACAGATTTGTTTTCCCTTTATGAACATACACACAATGAAATTTAATTTGTCATTTATTACTGAACTCCATTTGTCATAGAGGATCTTAGCTCTATCCCCTTGCAAGTTTTTTGGTTCTCTGAAAAAGTGCAAATGTTAAGACATTTTGTAATGCAAGCTAAAAATACTCAATAAATTTGTAACTTAAATTTATGTTGTCTGTCTTATGTTTTTACAAGTGTAATTGCTTATTTCTAACACATTTTCTTTTAATATCCAATTCAAAACACAGTAGTTTTGGCTATTACAAGAGTTTGGGTGTATTTTAAAGCTTTGAGTCCTATTAGCTTAAAATGCTTAAAATTTTAAAACTAATTATTAATTCCTAAAATGTATTGAGGTAGATTGGTACTTGAAAGTCAAAAGATCAAGTAGAGAGTACCCGTCATGGGCTGGGTCTGTGACCCAGTGTTTGAGTTTTTATATATTTTGGTATTCATTTGTGCCCTAGTTTAGTTCATCTAGTTAATTTTGAGGTTGCTGTTTAGTCCTTTGTTTCTTAGTTGTTTATGTCATATCCTCCTGTATTCAGTCTCCCTGGTCCGTGCGTCTACCTGTCATGCGTCATGTCTGTGTGGTTATGTTCAGTTCAGGTCACGTCTAATCCCCATGTTTCCTGTTTTACATTGAAAGTCTGTATTCAATGTCAGTGTATTTAGTTTCACTTCTCCTGTCCTGTCATTAGATTCATGTGTATCAGCTGTTCCCCCTCATGTGTTTCCACTTCCCTTGATCATCCCTCATGTATATTTAGTCTCTGTGTTTCATTCAGTCTGTGTCGCGTCGTCTGTGTTCCCACCCTCCATGTTTTCACGGCCAGTCTTTGCATAATTTATCACAGTATTCCCCAGTTTAGTTCTGCCTTGTTTAACCTCTATGTCGTCGGCCATAATAAAGGCTCGCTTTCAATTTAAATTCACTCCGTCTCCTCACCTGTGTTCGCACCTGGGTCCACCACACACACGACCGCACAGCCTGTCTCCACACACAGTGACAGTACCAAACCAAAATTGTGGATATAACAAAAAAACATTTATCAGTGTAACTGAAGTTTTTTATCCAAATCAACTATATAAATTATGTTTAACTTGTTTTTTAGTTTGTTTTAGTTAGTTAAAATATTTTATGTAATCAGTTTCACCAAAAATTTTGAGTTAAATTAACGCATTGGGTTTTACAGTGTGGATTTTCAGCTACTTTCTTGTTGCAATTTTTTAATTTATCAGTGACAGAATTAAAAAAAAAATAAAAAAAATCATAGCATCAAAATAAAAACTGGTAAACTTTAACAAATTCCAGGAAGGATATTACTGAAATCAGATTGGATGTGAAGGAACGTACTAAGATGTAGAAAAACTAGAAGTACAAATATCTGACTGTAACAAAGGGTCCAGTATTTTATTTGTTTCTAACAGCTGGCAGTGCATATAAAACACCAGGACACCACCACAAGGTAATAGCGGTGATGTACTGATGTAGGTTATCGTCGACGTCATTGACTCTAGAACTATTCAGCACAGAATTTTAAATCAGGCCTAACTCCCAGCATGTGTAGGGTTTGATCTCTGTTCTGGAAACACAACTGTGACATGACTGTGTTTGATTTTCTGCTGTCAGTATGAGATAATGGCAATTAAAACACACAAAGAAACTAACTCTGCTGCTTAATCCTCGATTTATTATGATATATTATTAGAATGAAATGACAGAATGGAATCACATTGAATTTTGAAATCAGAAGAGAGAGATCCAAATGACATTATTGTTTAGTGTATCTGGATTTTGGATTTACAGACAGATGAAAAATAATCCCAGCAGGTGATTTACTTCCTGTTTTACTTCTGAAAAAAGAAAAAGCTACAAGACAACCCAAACAGGAAGTTTGCAGCTGGTACACCTTTCACATGGAAAAAAGCAGATGACCTCTGAAGGTGGTATGATGATTGTAATCATCAAATATCCTTGCACCAGGCCAGAGGCGCACATACACCACATCTTGAGCATCTAGAAGCAGTGAGCCACCATTAGAGGTACTTGAAGAATGTGTTGTCTGATGTTCCCATGCCGAAAAAATGAGCTCTTTATTCATGAACAACCTAGCAGCTGTAGGATATGCATTGTCTCCGTGTCCATGCAGGGTCAACTCAAAGTTGTAGACTCCTCTGACTGGTGCAGTGAAAATACCTGTGGGACATTTGTTTTTGCCATATTGCATGAAAAATCAGTTGTTAGAAAATCTGGAACATCAGCCTGACATCAACAAAGCAGAGAAGTGACATTCAGTGTTATTACCTGTGTGTAGGTTGTAGGCATTTCCAATGTTTGTGACAACACGTTTGAAGATCACAGTAGTCTCTGTGTTAAATGGTCCAGTAAAAGGTGCACCACCTTGCTCCACCAGAGAGGCTGAGAAAGCCACCTGTTGGGCTGAGAGAGATAGAAATGTCATTATTTTAAAATTCCTGTTTTACAGTTATACCTCCTTTGTACAGGCTGTGAATTCAAATACTACATGTTACACAAACCCCATTTGGTAAATGCATTACTTTGATATAGTCTTAAAATATTAGTTTATGTAGATATCATGTTGAAGAAATGTCATCTTGTTCACTGCACTAAAAACAGACTGTTGTGAAACTGTAAGTGTCAGATTATAATATTATTTTATGCCATGTTATACCCCTAATTAAAGATTGTGAATTATTATGTAGTTTTAGTTTGCATTATTCTCCTGAATTAGAAGAAGCTGATAACTATTGTATTTGTTAAACTGATTTGCATTACATTAAACTGCTGATTTAGTGTGAATGAATGATATTGTTTTACGATGCATTATACTGCTGAGTTATAAGAAATACTGTTCGCAGAAAGTCATCGCCTTATTTGTCTGATTAAAAGAGAACAGAACATACTGGAGAGGTTTTCTGCCCCATCTCAGCAGGAGCAGATAAACAGGGAGCCAAGGTTGTAGCTTAGGCGCTGTGTGAGAGAAAGCATGTGAATGTTTACGCTTTTATGATAAGGTGGGGGCCACCAGAGGCTATAAGAGTTTGATCAATGCTCCACCATTTTGAGATCTGATGCTGTCTGCATACAGTGTCCATCTCCCACGCGTGTGACTATTAAAATCATCGTTTGACTCAACCCGGACGGACCAGTGTTGTTATTGTGGTTTTTCCTCTTGTATCCATCCCCAATTTTTGAACTCGTAACATAAGTTAAAGATTCTTCAGTTTGTAAGCAGCACAGAAAATACAGATAGAGTGATAGTCTAATATTTAGACGAGCTTTTAACTAGATTTGTGCTGTTTTATGTTTATCTGTTTTATATTATTGTGAAGCACATTTTTACCATGTTAAGAGTGCTATACAAATCAATAAAGTAAATTAAAGTAATAGTGTGATGGGTCACCACTGCTCCACCTTCACTCCTTTTTCCAGGCACTGACTCCATTTTAATTCCTATACTTCACTAATAATTCGATTAACTGAAGTTTATTATGAAATATTCATAGATTACTGGTTGAATCGATTTTACTTATGTAAGCCTGCTTAGATTATCAATCTTATTTACCACTATTAACAGTTAATATTCTTTATATATAAAACATTTGTTTAATGAATTATAAACTAGAAGCCGATTATTGCCAGCATGGGCACATCAGGATGTGCCAGTAACACCAATATTTCATCAACATGATTAGAGAGTATATTTGGAGCAGCATGTGACATCAGCTCCCATTAAACACTTCAGATGTCATGGTCCGGGGTGTGCGGCTGCAATTTTCAGTCAGGCTCCTGAGTCTACCTGGGATCCTCCTCCAGTTTCTCACACCTGGAGCTGATTTGCAGGCAATCAACGCAGATTGATTTAAGCCTCCCACTCACCTTCATTCACTGCCAGTTTGTCATCAATCCATGTTGGTAGCTGGCTCTCATGTTTCAAGCTCCCTTTGTGAATAATCTTGCTAACCTTACTTTCTTGTGCTGTAGTTCCTGGATTCACCTTCTCTCAAACCTCTGGCTCACGGTTCTCTCTCGGACTCAGGATAACAAACCACCATTTTTGAAATCACTCAATGCCTCACCTGCCTGCCCCCTGCCACCACACTCTATCAGGAACCTCTAGATCTCACCTCAGGTCAGCCTTTCCACATTGCTCAGCTCAAATTCTACGTTTCACTGGTTTTTGTTCTTGCCACATTTTCTAAGACTAAGTGTATTGTAAAGCTACCTGCCTTCTCTGTCCTGGGTTTCTGCACCTCAGTCCAGTTTTGGTACTGACCACTCAGTCCCGTGACATCAGACAGTGGTCCTGCATTGCCTGCTCTATATGTTGCTTCATTTGATGATATATGTGAAAAAATGAAGCAGTTTTATTTCAAAGTTGTTATCCCTGCTGTCTCTTCAGTCAGTTTCTCTCACTCCATATAAAAGACAAGTTATTGAAGATGGAACCAATAACTATGCAATTCAAATAAAATGCATGACAAAAGTCATGCTAAATCACTTCCCAGTGAATATATTTGCAGTGCATTTCTGTTTGGGCTGACAATTAGAAATTTTTATTTCAACAGTTTACATTCAAACATAAATATTATAACATCTCTATAGAAATTCTGCCCATGAGGATTTGCACACCGTACCTTGTAGCCGCTGCTTCAGCTGCTCAATCTCAGTCTTCTGTGTCTCCACTTCTTTTAGTTTTGCTTCTTGTTCTGACAAAACAAAAGGAAATAGAACATGATTGCACAGCTTGTCCTCAGATTGCTTTAGTGTTCCTGTAAAATTCTGTATTTACATGTCACGGTCTGCAGAGACAGGCCGTGCGGTGGTGTGGCTCACGAGGCGACACAGACTACATGAAACACAGAGACTAAATACACATGAGGGATGATCAGGGGAAGTGGCCACACATGGGAGCAACGCTGACACACATGAACCTAACGACAGGACAGGAGAGGTGAAACTAAATACACTGACATTGAATACAGACTTTCAAAGTAAAACAGGAAACATGGAGATTAGACATGACCTGAACTGAACATAACCACACAGACATGACGCATGACAGGTAGACGCACGAACCAGGGAGACGGAGTACAGGGGAAGATGACAGAAGCGACAGCATGAACTTGACAACACAAGACACACAGACATAAACACATGAAGGGCAAGGGAGGCTTAATACAAGGGTAATATAATTACAAATGAGCTGGAATAACTTAATGAACCTAAACAAACAATAAACATCAGAATAGACTAAACACAAAACACTGGGTCACACAACCCAGGACCATGACATTACATGATCAAAAAATTTCTTTAAAATAACTGGAACACAACAGCTGATCATATGAAGGCTTCTTGATGCTGTTATGTCTCTCACTAACTAACACAATTTTGTACCTTGATTCTTCTTTTGAAGAAGTGTGATCTGCTCTTTTTGTACAGCCAAAGAGGTGACTATCCCTGTCAGCACAGCTTCCATGTCACTTGTAAATGGTTGTAGGAGCGCAATCTTTTTTTTAAGAATGACCTCATTTTCAGCTGTCTGAGCTGCTGAGATAGAGCAAGCCAGAAGCAACACAGAGAAAACCAAGATGGTCTCCATCCTGTCTTCAGAAATCTGAAGTTCAACTGTCTCATCTGCAAATCTGATCTTTTTATGATATGGCAGCAAGAGGCAGGACTATCATGAGGTTACTTCCCCACTCCTCCCAGTTTTTTAAAAAACGAGGAAGTACTCAAACATTACTGGAATAGTGAACTTATCAACCTCTGTGTTTTGGTTGACTGCTGTTAAAACAGGTCAGTTGAATTTAATGCCTACAATTTCCAAATGAGGAAAATGCAAATTGTAGCGCTGCGCAGGTGTATACACACTTTGTCACAGTTACCTCTGTGAGCAACACACAACACAAACCCCTGAACAACCCCCCTGGTAGATTCACAAACACAGAAATTAGCATTTAAAAGTTTAAATCGTCATGCAACCTCAGATGTCACTGTCATCTTTCTGCTCCTGTAAAAAGAAACGCATATAAATTCATCCACCCTTTTGTCCTGTCTAGGTGGAGGTTAACCTTGAGTCGTGGTCAAGTCTTGTCAGCTTTTGTCAGCTTTTACCAGTCAGTCAGTTTGTTTTTATTTCCATTCATTCATTCATTCATTCTTTTTTTCTTTGCTGATAGTGGAAACCATCGCCGCATTTAGATTTCCACCCTCAGCAAAATGACGTCATTTCAAAAAGAAAAACAAGAACTTTAGATCGGATTACCTCGCTGAATCCTTCTCAGGCAGGGACTCTCATTTTCTAATTGTCCCAAATAAGTGGCTTTCTCCAGAGTCCATTTTAATGTGGAGAAACTCACTTGCAACGGTTTTCTCGACATGTCGTATAGCACTTTTAATTCCCGTTCTGCAGATCTGCTTAAAGAAAAGAAATTCACAAACAGAAATCAGTGCATTGTTCAAAAAATAAAATGAAAAATAAAAGATAAAACTAAAAAACAAAAGTAAATGAAAAAACAGAAGCCCGGTCTTAGGACTTGTCACAGAATATTCTTTCTCTTATAGGTGAGAAAACACCAAATCTAAAACTTGGTGCCATGGTAAAACCTTCCCCATACTTCAAAAACCCAAAACAAAACAAAACAAAACAAAACAAAAATCTGCTAGTTTCACTCATTTAAACTCTGGCTGCAGGATTCTGTTCACCCCTGCTATCATGTTCCCCAAAATAATACTAATTCAGTCGTCTATGTATCAGTTCTCA